AGCAGGTCAAGGGATGTTGAGGAGGCACCAGTGAGGCCACCCCTGGAGTGCTGTGTCCAGTGCTGGGCTCGCAAGAGCAAGTCCAATAGACATGGACATGCTAGAGGGAGTCCAATGAAGGACCACAAAGATGATGGACTGGAGCATCTTTCACATGAGGAGAGGCTGCGAGACTGGACAGGCTGGAGAAATGGGCCAACAGGAACCTTATGATGTTTAACCAGGAGAAGCACAAAGTCCTGTCCCTGAGGAGGAACAACCCCAGGCACCAGCCTGGAGCAGAGAAGGCTCAAGGGGATCTCATCAGTGTATATAAATACCTGAAGGCAGGCTACAAAGAGGACGGAGCGCCGCTCTTCTCAGTGGTGCCCAGTGGCAGGACCAGAGGCCATGGACACAAACCGAAACACAGGAGGTTCCCCCTGAACCTCAGGAAACACTTCTTCCCTGTGAGGGTGACTGAGCACTGGCACAGGTTGCCCAGGGAGGTTGTGGAGTTTCCATCTTTGGAGATACTCAACACCCGACTGGACACGGTCCTGGGCAGCTGGTTCTGGGTGGCCCCGCTTGAGCAGGGGCTTGGACCAGACGGACCCCAGAGCTGCCTCCAACCTCAACCAGCCTGGGATCCTGTGATTCTGCGACCAGGGGACGTGCGTGTGTGCAGCTGTTTGTGTGCAGCTGCATGGGTGGTTTGTGTGTGTGCGTGCAGGAGTGCACACATAGCTGTGTGTGCGTTCAGTTGTGTGTGTGTGCAGTCAGGGTGTGCAGTATGTGTGTGTGCATGCAGCTGGGTGTATGTGTAGAGCTTTGTGAGCGTGCACACACTGTTGTATGTGTGGCTGCATGCACTGGCCTATGTGTGTTTCCGTGCACTGCAGTGTACGCTGATGTGTCTGGGTGTAGGCATGCTGTGAGCAGTTGTGCGGGGGGGCAGCTGTGCACAGCTCTGCCTGCCTGTTTGCGGCTGTGTGTGCGTGCAGTTGCATCTCTGCACTGGTGTGTGGACTGCATGTAGCTGTGCGCATGTAGAGCTCTGTGTGTGCAGCTGTGCATGTGTGCATGCAGCTGTATGTGCAGGAGGGTGCATGAGTGTGCACAGCTGTGTGCGTGCACAACTGTGTGTGTGCGCAGCTGTGTGCCATTGTGTGCATGCACAACAGACAGCTGTGCATGCACACACCCTGTCCGGAATGTCACTGTCTGTGTATGTGTGTTTGTGTTTGCAGTGTGTGTGTGTGTGTGCAGGGATGGTGCGTTTGCAGTGTGGGGGGGGTGCAGTTTGTGTGTGCATTGTTTGTCATGGGTGCGTGTTTGCAGTGCATGGTGTGCACATGTGCATACAAGTGCGTGCTTGCAGCGTGCATATGCACGTTTGCAGTGTGGGTGTGTTTGTGGTGTGGGTGATCGTGGTGTATGTGTGGGGTGCGTGTGTGTGCGGTGTAGGTGTGTGTGTGAGCACAGCGTGGGTGTGCAGGATGTGTGTGCGCGCGGGGGGCGGGCGTGCACGGCGTCTTCGCAGTGCGTTCGTGGTGCCTTTACGGCCTGCCCGTGCTCACGGCGTGTGCCCGCGGTGCGCCTGCGCGGTGTGTGTTTGCCCTGCGCGTGCACAGCGTGTTCGTGCTCGGGCCGCGGCCGCTCGCCGTGTGCGTGC